TGCTCCTCCAAGTTTTGTTCCATAGCTCCTGATCATTGAGATCTTTTGAGTTGCCAATCTCTTTCTCTTCATCTTATGGTTGGTATCGTAGAGTATAGGGAGAAAACTAGATTAAATCTAGAATATTAATATTTTATTTATTAAAATAATAATTTAATTGGATTATTTAAATAATATAGTGGGGTAGAAATTAACTATTAATTTAATTAAAAAGAAATTATAAGTTTGTATAGAAATAAGAGGGAAAGTGGGAATTATGGAGACAAGTGAAGGACTAAAGGGTAAAGGTGAATTAAAGGAATTATTATTTTTAAGATAAATAAATAGAATAGTGAGGAAAATTGCGTTTACTGATACATAGAAAATTTGGGAGAAAAGAGGAAAAAAAGCTAGAGGCAAGATGGAAGAAGATGAAGACTTAGAAGAGAGAGAAGAACTCAAGAAACAAGTTTCAATCAAGGTAAATGTGCACCTAAATCTTTAAAAAATATTACTTGTTATTTCTATGATTTGTTTGATGGATGTAGAAAGTGAAGAGTGAAACTCATCACTCTAAACCTGTTTTCCAAATACACAAAAATATTGATTCAAGTAGAGAAGAGAAAGTTGTATCGGAAAACGGTGTTTATTCATCATATACTATCCAATATTATAGAAGTATTTATATCTAACTAAACAAACTCAATAACTACTAACAAACTCACTAACTAACTAAATACACCAAGTTACTTAACAGTGTTAAACCAATGATAACTTGTATTAAGACAATTCTCTAACACCCCCCATCAATTGAAGGGTAGCGATCTTCATTAACAACTTTGAGTTGCCCTCAATTCTTGAAAGGTTATTGTATCAAGCGGCTTGGTAAGAGTATCAGCGATTTGTGCAGCAGCAGGAACGTGTCAGATTAGCATTTTTCCTGCTACAACTCTTTCTCTAACAAAGTGAATATCAAGTTATATATATTTCGTACAAGCATGTAAAACCGAATTGTGAGATAATAAAACAACACAGAGATTGTCACAAGCGTGAGAGTGTGAATTGAAATTCTGAGTTCAGACAATAAAGACTATAACGGTTAGGTCTATGATTTTATGGTTGACAACAATTTTGATAAAACAAGGAGTTGGCAGTAATTTTATCAAAACATATTTCACTGGGAGAAACATTTATTTAGCCTAATGTTAAGAAAAAGTCATAACATCTTGACCAACTGGTATATCAGAGTTTGCGCGTACTTATTTGACAGATGTTCTATCAGATGTTGTAACATGTTGCAATAGAACATCATGACAGTACAGCTGGATAATCCTTGAAGATTTGATTAAAAATATGAGATTCTGGAGGTTTCTAGTACTCATAACATGTGCAGGAAATCAAGGACTTTAGAAACAATTATAGATTTGATTTGTTTCATAAAAAGGATATTTGAGACTTTTTAGTAACTATTTTAAAGATTTGTTTTTGTTTATATTTTTGCGGAGAAGATTCTGCACGAATTTAGAGCTGAAAATTATATTTGATTAAAGAGTCCAAGCTCAACTGCAGAAATCTATATAAGGAGTCGCCCAAGACCTATTTTTTAAGAAGCATAATTTTATTATAAAACCTTGTGAAAAATAAGGGTTTAGGGTTTGATAGTTCCTTAGGTTCTCTATGTGTTTTGTGTACATCCTCGTGTATCTTTGATGCATTTGAGTTGACTTTGTTACTTGTTTATCAAGTTATTGTTCTCCTCTAAACTTTTAAGCAAAGAGTTGAGTATTATTCTTAGTGAAGCTTTTAAGAAAACTAAGTATTGTGTTTTGGAATAGTGTTCTTCTTTTTGGTTTCTTGAGACACTCCTGAAACAACCGGCTGAAAATCATCAAACAATGAAGTCGCCATCGAACGTCTTTTATCCCACATGAAGGGAAAGGTAAACATCGAGAAAACCTGAGAAGGGAGAAGTCACGGTCTTGCGACCGAGAGATATGGGTAAGGGAGTCTATTACGTGAGGGGAATGTATTAGCATCCCACACGCCCGTATTACTCTACGGTATCCACTATTGTTGTCTATCTTATGGGTGTGTTAGGATCTATATTTAGGCTTAAGGGCTAAAAGAAAATGAAAAGAGGGAATGCATGCAAAAGAAAAGAGAAAATAATGTAGGGAAAAATAAAGTTGTGCTCGTTCGGGCCCTACCTCGATGCCTACGTATCCCTTTTAAGGAATCAGAGCAACTGTAGTTCGGCTCACATGTTTTTGTTGGTTTATATTTTTTCACAAACAATATTAATTTCGTCTTCTGCCGCAGCTCAACCTTTGGAGACTCACGCGTCAGCACAGAAGTGAACTAACATGTTATTTCTGAAAAGTTTGAAAGAAAAGCCTGAAGGCGCAAAAGAGTTTGTATTGGTTGATATCTTTTACCTTAAAGAAGGATTTAGAAGTTGTTAGATGTTTTATGCATTTTTCGAGAAAAAGAAAGTTTTTGTTTTAAATGCAAAGATGCAAAAGAAAAGAAAACATCTAAGGGAGACTAACCTAAATCTATCCATAATGTTATCATACAATGATTGATCCTATAGTTGAGTTTTAAAAGGAAATCTCTAACCTATGTTGACATGCGTGGATAACAATCCTAATGTCTATCTCAACTCATCCTCTATAGATGAATCAAGAAGTCCTAAAGGAGCATGGCAAGGGTTTATCATCTAAGACTATGTCTATCTTGAATCATCATCTATAGTCGAATCGAGAGCTCCTAAGAGAACATGCTGAGGGCATATCATCTCAAAACATGCACACAAAGATGAAATCAAACAAGCAAGCCAATAAGCTCAAGAGAACACACCTAGAGATATCCTATCTAGGTTAGCATGCCAAAGAAAGTCTAACAAAACTATCCTACGGAGAACATGCAATGAGAGAGAAGTCGTGATCTCAATTTCTAAATTGAGTGACTCATCGATCAACAAGAAATCAAGGAAAGCGATAGAATCCTATAGGGAGCATGCACTGAGAGCGAAATCGTGATCTCAATTTCTAAATTGAGTGACTCATCAATCAACAAGAAATCAAGGAAAGCGATGAAATCCTATAGGGAGTGAAATTCTGGCAGCAGATACTCAATGTCACAGTGAATGTTATGACACCGTATCTGACTTTCTATAAGACAGTAAATAAAAACAGTAAAGAACACAGTCAATTGTTTATCCAGTTCAGTGTGAAACAACACCTACTCTGGGGGCTACCAAGCTAGGGAGGAAATCCACTATAAGAGATATTAATTCAGGAATAAACCAACCAGTTTATCTCCTTCACTTAAGACCTACCCAATGCAACTTCAATCTAAGTTCAACTTAAACCTGAGTTCCTACTCACTCCCCCTCAATCACAGTAGTGATACTTAAAACAATTGACTAATGAAATAATGAAGACAATCTTCAGAACATACACTTGATTATGCTTCACAGCTTTTTAATCAAGTAACACAAACACTCGTGCTTCACAGCTTTGAGTGATACATAAACCTAACTTGACTTTGCTTCAAAGCTTTAGTCAAGAGACACAAAACACTCTTGCTTCAAAGCTTTGAGTGATACAAAAACCCTTATAATCAAAACCTATTCCAAGTCACTTATCACAATGATACTTGCTTGGATTACAGCAGTTAAAACTATACAGCTCCTAATTGATCTTCCGTCAAAAGAGATACTTTGCAACCAGCATTCCTGTTGAATATATATGCAGCTGTTTCTTCAGTTAGGGTTTCCACAAAAAGCTAGGGTTAATTAGGTTTAACCTTAAGACTTGGTCACAAGACTTTATCAACCAAATTAGGGTTGAGCTAGGTTAACCCAAAGTCCACGTGAGATTCTGTTCTGGAAGGAATGAGCCATCTTCTTGAAAAATCTCAGAATTAACCAAACTGCATATCTGTTAGATCAGTACAGGGTGTCTTAACATTTGTTATGACATCAGAATTCCTGTTTACTGATTTTGGTAGAAGGCAATAAATGTGATCATTGCAAAATTCTCAGATACACACTCATAAACAGTAGCTACTGTATGCCATACTTTTTCTGCATAAAGTACCTAATAATCCAGAATGTTATGACATCAGTCATGACATTTACACACCTGGTTTTACCAAAAATACATGCCAATAACTAAACACTTACAGGGAGCATGCACTGAGAGCGAAGTCGTGATCTCAATTTCTAAATTGAGTGACTCATCGATCAACAACCAAGGAAACAAACACAAACACGACATATATAACAAATGAAGTGCAGAATGCCTGCTACAGGTCTTTAAACAGCGACTTCGAGGGCACGCTCTTTATTTCCTACTTCTCATGATATCTAAAAAGCACTAAAGTGCGAAATGAGATAAACAAGAGAAAATACCGAACGGATATCAATCCGTAGTGAAGCGTATCCAAACAAAGAAAACCGACGATCTTCGCGAAAGCTTCACTAATCAAAGAAAAGAGTTGGAAATCAAAAGTTCGGAATAAGCGTCGAAGCATCATCGATGTGAAAATAAATCACAATCGAAATCTCAAGCGCATCCGCATACCACACAATAAACCTGCATAAGATTCTCATCTCAACAAGCAAAGGTGAATTACAATCTCAAATATAATCGGATAATCGAAATTTAATTTCCTAAAACTAAAATAAAAAAAATCTACAAGTTTTTATTGATTTTATTGTTTTTATCATGTAAAAGAAAAAAGTTCAAGCAAATCTAAACAATTCACAAAATTGTTCAAAAGGAAATATTTAAAGAGTAAACTCAGGGGGTTATGCTGAAGTCAGTGGGTGCTGAAACAATCTGGGCGTTGCAGGCCCGTTGAAGAGAAGCCCAAAAAAGTTTTTTTTTGTAATACAAGCTAACATGCTGGTTTTTTTTTGCAAGCTCTCTAGTTCCAAAAATTTACGCTGGGCCTTATGATGAGTGCAATTCGGCCATATTCAACAAGACAAGTCCAGTAGTATGAGTTCAACAATGATCCACGGGCAGGTTAGTAATGGCCCAAACGGAATCCACCTTAACACGTCCAATTTCCACAATTGTTTCACTTTACACAATATTTGCTGGTTATTAAAATTAAGGCAAAATATAAAAAAAAGATTGGAAATGAAACGATGGCGCTTTGTTGGGACAGGGTTCACAATTTTGTGTCTCTTTGCGTTCTCATGAGAATATAATTCTCTTCGTCTTTCTCAATCTCGCAACCACGGCGGCCGAATCTTCTCTCAGTCGCTCTCAATCTCCTCCGTGGTTCCGTCTTCCTCAGTTGCGATTCAGCTCCGCACTCCATCTTCGTTTCGTGAGACCCTCTCCTCCATCCTTGATTTCGGTATTCATATCCTCTTCGAATCACAAGCTCTGAAGATCTAAAAACCTAAAAGTTGAGTCACATCCTCCCCACGTCCAATTGAAACTCTGGAATTTAGGGATCCAACTCCAGTATACTCGGGCTACACCATAACATGAAGAAATAGACAGAAGAAGTGAAGGAATACCGAAGATCGGACCTTACCGACTGGAGGAAGTCCGATGCCATCTTGACGGCGTCAACAAACATAAATCCATAGGTATGAATCTTCATTCTCTCTCCACTCTTTCTTCTCTCTATTTCCATACGGTTCTGTTTCTACTTACTGTTGCATCTTCGTTGTTGTGGAAGCTGGGAATCGGACGAGATAATCCTTAATCTTGGTGTGTTGGGTAGCTTGATGCGGAAGAGGCCTGAATACAGTGAGGGTTGCAGATTCGTCGACGAAGATCTTTGAAAGTTGATGAACGATTTGCAGAAGAAATCGCTACGTGAAGACATTGGTAGTCGAATTAGAAGCGATGTTGAGGAGCCTTGAGACGAGGATGCGGCTTCAGAGTAGAGATAATTTCCGAGGAAGCCTGCAAATTTGGGTGATGATGAAGATGCGATTATGGCGAGAAAAAGAGCAAAGAGAATTTCTTGATTTTCTGGTGGATGAAGATGAAGAGGGAGAATAAAGATTGGGAGAAGAAGAAGTGTCTCATTTCTGTGATTCTTCCGAATGTTGAAGAATCATTGAACCCAGGTGAGAATTCTGTTATATATCTCCGTTAGATCTGGAAAAGTTTGTTACAAGGCAATTGAATTTGAACTACTAATTCTAACAGTTAGTTACAAGAATTGGAAAGTTGAGATTTGTTTGAAATTCTGTTATAAGCTAAGCTGGCAATTCAGTTTCAATTTCCCAATTTTTCCCATCTATTTTCCCTGATATTTTCCTTTATATTTTCTAATTATTCCCTCTGTTTTATTGAGTTGGCTTATTACTTCTGATTTCTGATTTTTCTTCTTATTCTGTTGCAACCTCTCCTCTTCAGACTTATTGGTGAGAAGATAAAGAAAAAACACATCAAGAACTGGTTTTGGAACCATTTCCAAAAGCTCTTCATCCAATCCATAAACGTCATCGCACCTTGCTTGATCCTCTAGAAGAACAAGACCAGAAAGGCATTGGTTCATGACATCAGGTTTAGCTTCAAGAGAAAGCCATCTTTTTGAAGAAGCAGTAGCCATTCTTTCTGTTTATTCTATTTCCAATTTACAATTTCCTTTCTCATTTCAGTTTCATCTGACTTTTGGATTATTTTATGGAATAGGCATTGGTGCTGGTAGCAGCCGCGAGTTAACTTGATATAGGGTAAGTCTTTACTAGTTTGAAATTGGTTTATCTGGTTTGGTATAGTAGCAATTAGGTGAACCCTTTTTAGGAGTTTAACACATGATCCAAAAGAACGTTGCCTCTTTAGTTATTGCACGTCTGGCAAACTGTTTTGGTTTTGGCTTCTGAACTGTCTTCAAACTCTCGCCACCGCCTGGTACTGACTATTAAGGTTTCTAGACACATTATCTGATCTAAAATTCTGGTATGCTGCTCGACCGCGATGAATACTCAGATACCAGCTTTAGAAGCATGGATGACTTATCTTCTAATAGCCGTAAAGGAGTGTCAAACTCAACAACTCGACCATCACTGAGCACCAGAACTCGATCGCTGTCAATAACAGTAGGGATACGATGTGCAATGGTGAGCACAATGCAGGCTTTGAACTCTGTTCGAATAATCTTCTGGATAAGATTATCAGTGGAGGTGTCGACAGATGCTATTGCTTCATCAAGTACAAGTATTTTTAACTGCTTCAATAGAACTCAACCAAGAGAAACAAGTTATTGTCGTCCTACACTCCAATTGTCTCCATTTTCTATAACATGTGTATCAAGCTTTTATCCTTTCTAGCAGATGATATCTCCTTATATGAATTTTCAAAGTCTTTCCTCAAATCTTGAATGAACGAGATGTAGTAATCCTTGTTACTTGAATCTTGAATATAGCATCTTGTGATGCAATTGTATTTTGATGACTAATGTAAAGCATGGAATGTAACTTTTGAAATTATAAATGATAATTGAAGTAAATCTTGACTCTTGTACTTTGTATGTTGACTTTTTGTAATGATGTTTTTCCAAATGAATTTGATAAAATAGTTTCCCTCCTTTGTATCTTTTGAATACTGAATATCAACCCTTTTCAATTTGTATTTCATGTGAATTCTCCAATCTTGCTATAATTGAATGAACCACTAGATGAAGGCCTCAAAAAGATTTAAGAAGGACCTTGTCAAAAGTCAACCTTCCATGGTTGATTTTGACCAAAAATCAAAGTTTTGGCCAATCTTTCAAACTTGAGATAATTCAATAATAACACCATGCGAACTCATATTCACTCTTTGCACGAAATCCACAATACAAATCTTGTAACTCGAGTAAAGGTGAACCAAACCTCAATTAATGGTAGAAAGTCTAAACGAAATCCTAATGAGACGAACCAGCATGATGGTAATAGTCAGACCATAAAACCCTAAAATCCACTCGAGCAATGAGCAATATCCATTGAATGATGAGATTCATTGAGAACCCAAACTTTATAAGGAAATCTTTTGACTACCACATGATTAGAGAAATAAGCCCTAATTCCATGATCTTTGAGTCTTTAAGCCTTGAGTTGGAGCCAGACCCTTCCTTGGGGAAATTCCTCGACTCAGATGAAACTGGAAGCATAGCAAGACGTCCATATGATAGAAACCCTAATTTCTGAAATTGACAAAACCGGGTGGAGATTGGCCTTATGGATTCGAGAAAAAGAGATTCTTAATGACCATAGACCACAACCCTAATTTCACTGCTCAATGTTTGAAGAAGAAATAAGTCTTTATTGGATACGAACGCCTTGACCAGTATAAAACCCTTATATTACGCAACCATTGAACTTTGAACCAAAGAGTTATATTGAATGAAATGTATGCCATGTTAGTGACCTAAATATGCGAATGCGAATGAACGCAAAAGTCTAAGCCAAATAAAAGAAATTAGGAGGGCAAATTTTGGGGTGCAAGAAATCCCTAGGATTGAGAGTGTTGATTCTAGTCACTAGAATTGTGGTTGTAGTTTCTAATCCATGGTTTGGTGCCTAGGTAGAAGTTGCACTGAATAGGGATTAAGTGAGAAATATAAACTGGGACTGTTTAGTTTTGAATTGGTACTAATGATAGTGAATTTCCTTTCTAGCTAGGTAGCCCCCAGAGTAGGTGAGTTGCACTGAACTGATTTAAATTGATTGTGCTCGCTAAGTTTCTTTAATTTACTTTTCTACACAATCTTTCTGTTTTAGCAAGTCAGTTTTCTGTCAGTAGATGTTATAACATTTGTCGTGATATTGTATGTTGTTGAGACATCAGTCTTGACTTCTGATATTGTGTGTGCCAGAATTTCAATTGGTATCAGAGCAGGCACCCTGTTTTGTTATTGAGTGAGATTCAGGGATATACTTTCTGTCACTAGGGAGAAAGAAGAAGGATATAAAAATAGATCACCCATATTGGATGATTCAAACTATGACTGGTGGAAGGCCAGAATGGTAAGTTTTCTTAAATCTATGGATAATAAAGATTGAAGGGTTGTTTTAAAAGGATGGGAGCATCCAGTTGTGAAGGACAAAGATGGAAAAGAATCTATAAAACCTGAAGAAGACTGGGATGAAAATGATGATAAAGAAGCCATTGGAAATTCCAAGGCTTTGAAAGCTCTATTCAATGGAGTAGACAAAAATGTTTTCAGATTGATTAATATGTGTACTGTAGCCAAGGATGTTTGGGAGATTCTCAAGTTAACTTATGAGGGTACCTCTAAAGTGAAGATTTCAAGAATTCAGCTTCTCACTTCTAAATTTGAGAACTTGAAGATGAATGATGATGAAATAATTCAGGAATATCAGAAGAAGATTCTTGAAATTGCTAGTGCATCAAGTGCCTTGGGAGAGAAAATGTCAGAAGCAAAGTTGGTCAAAAAGATTCTTTGATCCTTACCTAGGAGATTTGATATGAAGGTTACAACTATTGAAGAAGCTCAGGACATCAATAACTTGAGAGTTGATGAGCTTATTGGGTCACTTCAAACATTTTAATTGACTATTGGTGACAAGACTGAGAAAAAGAACAAAGGCATAACTTTTGTATCCAGTGCTGAAGATGAGAAAGGTTAAGTTGAGATGGACACTGATGAGGATCTGTTTAATACTATTGTGCTACTTGAGAAGTAATTCAATAGAGTATTAAAAATATTGGACAGAAGAGGGAGGTCAGATGTCAAGAAAATCTCATATGACATCGGTAACAATCTTGATTCTCAAAAGAAAACAAAAACAGAAGAGAAGTCAAGTCAAAGTAGAGGCATTCAATATTTTGAATGTGAATAATATGGTCATATTAGACCTGAATGTCCCAACTTTCTCAAGAAATAGCATAAGGGTTTCACTACATCCTGGTCTGATGATGATAAGTCAGAAGATGAAGATAATTTTGAGACTGCTAAACTAGTGTTGGCTCTATCTGGCAGATGGGCAAAAGAAGTTAAAGCTTGTGATGAGAATGATCTTTATGAAGATTTGTATGTGCCCTTCAAGGAGACGTGTGACAGGTGTGATGAAAGCCTCATGAAAGAGTAAGCACAAAGGAAGATCATTGATGACTTGGAGAATAAAAGGAATCAACTCTTAAGTAACACACTTAAATTCCAAGCTTGACAACTTGACATATTCCATAAATATGGTGAAAGAAGATGAAAATGCCAGAGTTCATTATCAATTTGATAATAAACTAAGAAGAGTGGCATAAGAAAAGTTCTTTCCTTCTGAAAAGAAGAAAAAGATCAACATGTCCAAACATCCCGACAAGTATGATAAATTTTAAATTCAACCTCAATCTACTTGGAGATGCCACTACTATGGTGAGTTTGGTCATATAAAGCCTTTTTGTTTCAAATTATATGGAGATAAAAAATCTTCAGTTTGTTCCAAGGCTAATATAGTGAGCAAAAAGAGAAGTGTTAAAAATAAGTGTTGAATAATGAGAGAACAAGAGGAAGGTTGGATTGAGTCTGTGTGTGTGAATTACACATCAGAGCTCATTATATATAATAGGAGACATAAATGCCATAGTAATTACATAATATTCTATAATAATTACATAATATTCTATTTCCTATTTACATGATATCCTAATTACTTACAGAATATTCTATTTACATAATATGGAATATTCTAATATCTAACACTCTGTTGTACCCCAAAATTTGCCCTCCCATAATCTTCAAAGTTTTGCCTCAAAGGGTTCAAAGTCTACTCAAGGGCTACACAGTCAAACCATCCTCCTAAGCCATGCAAATTAGGGTTTTGGTTCTTGCAAGGAAGTTGAGGTTTTCAAAGGCTCAATCAAGTCTCATATGCTCATGCACATTGTCAAGCACCTACATGTCAAGTTTCAAGGCTCACAAGGTCAGGTTGCACAGTCAAAAACCCTAATTGCTCCACAGTCAACTGTAGGGGCAAAATGGTCATTTGGCAGTCAAAAGTCAAAATTTTTGGTCAACATCTTATTTTGAATCCACAATCATCATTTGGTCAAGTCTTGACCATGATTTCACAAGAATGGCTCAAAAATCATCAAGGTGTCAAAAGTTTTTATTTTTGAACAGTTGAAAAAAGTCAACTGTAACTTGACCAAGGCATAACTTTTTCATGGTTCATCAGAAAAATCCCATCCAATGTTCATCTTGAAGGGGAGGACATTTCCTACAACTCATATTCACATTCCAAGTCCAAGAAATGCTCTCACAAAAAGTTATCAATTTCAACATTATAGGTCATTTTCAAAAGTCAACAAAAAGGCACTTTAAGTCAAAGACCATAACTTGAGATTGGTAAATCAAAATGACATGGGACCAAAGACATTGGTTATAGGACTTCAAGACCTTTCCAAAATGTCCAATAGCATGTTCATAGCTTCAAAATTGAGAAAGATATGCATTGGAGAAGTTGGGAAATTTTTGTGAAATGGCCAAAGTCAACTATCCTTGAAAATTCATTTTGACAAAAGGGGCCCACTTTTTCCACTTGATTCAGCTTGGCCATGCTTCCCACGTGTCCCACAATTTATTTCAAGATTTAAAATTATTTTTTTTCATTTTTATTTAATTTTATTTGATTTAATTCATTTTAAATCTTTAAAATTCAAATAAAAATCAAAGAAATTAATGGAGGGATATGTTTTGTGTTGATTAGCTTTGATACACCTTGAAATACCTTCCAAATTCGTGCAAGGCCAATTATGGGCATAAAAATTCAAATTTTCACAAATATGGCAAATGGTTCAATGTTGGTTATGGAGGAAATCAAGAACATAATTGCATAAGCTTAATGACCATAATTTTGATTGATTTTCATTCATTACTATATATACAAGTCTTCCCAACCTCATTCAAAAAAAGAGTGTGTGCAGAAACGACCAAGAGAAAAACCAAAAATTATTCAAAAAGTGAGAGTTCTAAAACATAGTTGCGAGCATCTTCAGATCAAAACAAGCACGTGGTTCTATTCCTTGCCACACCCTGAAGCTAAAGCAACCTTTGCCAAGTCCTGAGGCTCATACCGCGCTGTAAGTTCTTCCCAGGTCCCCTATAATTTCCATATCATTTTTTTCATTACTTTCATGTGCAGATTCTCAAAGGAGGAACACCATAAACCTTATATCCCAGCGCTCCAAGTGTCATCAACGCAGATCCAAAGGACAAAAAGTGTAGCACACCATACTCTGGAGTCAAGCGTGCTGTAGGAAATCATGAAAGTCAAACGTGGCTTAGATTTCAGTGGGCTTGGATTGCTTCAATAAACCTCCTATTTGGCCCACACCCCCCTTGGTTATTACTTTCTTTTTTTATTTTGTTTTGTCATTTTCTCTTATTTTTAATTGCTAACCTTTTAATTATTTATATTATTAACAATTAACTTAATTAACGCATTTTCATAAAAAAACCAAAAAATAGAATTAACATTATTATTATTATTATTATTTTATTTTGTAAATAAATATTAACCAAAATAGTTTAATTAGGCAATTTTAATTTTTTTTCTTAAATAATTAAAATAAATCTAGAATTAGGTAAAAGTTAACTTTTAATTTTATTCCATTTCTTTTATTTCATAAAAACATAAAAAACAAAAAATATTTATTTTTAATTAAATTAATTAATTAGTCATTAATTAGCTTTAATTTCATTTTAATTACAAAAAAAGCCAAAAAATCAA